ACAGGAGGGAGGGGGGGGGTAGAGGAGGGGGCAGGACCGTAAGATTTATCTTTGCAACAAAGTCTAAACTTAGTAATGAACAATACTACAGTTAGCATTACAAGAAGAAAGCTTATTGAGATCTGGTAAAAAAACGGACTGCTTTCTTGAGCGGATCGCATAACACTTTAGGAATTGCCAAACTGAGAAAAACGTTAAAAATAATCAAAAACTTTTGAATGCTGCATGAAGCGTTGTTTCTTTTGCATTAGATACTGCTAACTGCAAAGCCTACGTGACGGATCGAAGCTGTTATAGACAATAGGATATTGTAAACATGTGTGTAATTACCTAACCGTTTAATCGGATTAATATTTAAGTAATTTTTTAGTTATACTTATGTAGATGTGTCTGATGTCAGTAAATACCAGTAAGCTGTATCACCTACTGTCAAATGAAGCAAACCCAGGAAGGAAAAAAAAGTGAGAAAGAAGAAACGGCTTGGGGGAAGAATGGAATAGTGCTTGCTTTTGCTAACTGAGCAGCGACCTGCATCTCGGGTGCCTTCAAAATCAGTCTGAACTATTTTTTCCAAACAAGGCGTTACCGTCAGTTAAGCTCCGTGCTCGTTTCGCGAGAATTTTTATAGTTACTGAACATGCACATACCTGTGACTTAATCTAAGAAAACTCTTCTCATCATTTTTTAGAAAATCCATATCTGTCGAGTTCGGTGTAAATCAGCGCAGCCATCCGTGAAAGGGAATTTTGAGTAAATGCACAAAAAGTCTAGTCCGTAACCCACTGACGAAAAAACACTACTTATACTCACTAACTGCAGGAGTACAAAGTCAAGGGGTTCTTCACAAAAGTAAACGGTTGCCGCATTTTGTTTCTACAGTATATATTCTTTCAACTGTTTCTTCCATTCCAGTTTTGAGAGCTCCTACTTAGGGCGGGAAAGGTGGAGGAAGGGATTTCGACCAGAGAGGTAAAAACCGGAAAGGAGTTAGGACCGTGATATAACTATTTTTCCGCAATATTTTAGTTTTATGGGAAAATTTTTGCATTCTACCAAACTTTGTTTCCTCAAGCCATTTTCTTCACCTTCGACTTTTGGAAATTCAACTAGTATATGACATTACACAATGTGCCCACTGGCAGTACCAGACAATGTGCCTAGAGTTTTAGGTCTAGGTTTATTTATGTTGTTGTGCTGTTCTATGTTTTGGGTTCCCTGTGTTTGTCCCTAAAGTCTGAATTTGCACTTAAAATCGTAACGATCTAGGTTTTAATAAATGAGCTAAGTCGAGTAGAAGCTGCACAGAGGTAGTTCGGCTTCAGAATCAACTCAAAAAGAAACGTTTCCTCCAGTAACTGGATCCCAGACTTGGTAATCGACAGCTATCACCAAATCACTTTGCAATAATTCGTTATCAAAAATCTCCGATTTAATGGTTCTTATTCGAAGCAAGTTGCAAGCAAATACTACTTGCCGTAAGACAGTTTTTTCAAGCGTTACGGCCCTGCAAGAGAGTGAGCAACAAGTTCTTACGAGAGTTGATAATAAAAGGTTTAGGTCTCCCATAAGAACGAATCGAGAGAATGCTGCCTATCTCGTCAACTTCAAAAACCTTGTAGTTGCGAAAAACAGCGACCTGACTTCTCAAACTGGCCCCGCACCCAATTTTATGAAAAATTCCTGAACACCAACCGTAATATAAGGACAGTCAAGCTCAATGCAGCTGAAAAACAAGCTGATAACAAAGCTGGATGTTTCTAAATAACCCAAAGAGGCCACAGTTTGGCCACCACTAAACATTAGTCGAGAACAATAAGACGTCCCAGTTTCAGAAATGTATCCCACTTTTGTCAAAAACTTTCTACTAATCACTGTCCCACCTTGAAGTCTCATTTCTTTCATCGGCCATCTGCTATAAAGCAACAACATTTAAAACATCTATAAACCAAGGCTTTGCAAAACTCCTGCTGATTACTTTTCATCCCCAATGCACCAACTATAGCCGATAATAGCATTACAAGATCTGAGCATCTCCCGAGACTCTCTTAGCTATCACATCAGAGTCACTGTGCTCTGCGCCAAAAATCACGCTATTCGAGAACGAAAAATAGAATCTTCTGCCATCTCAGCTTGAAATTGAATAAACATCCGCTCCTCCAGCCACGGGATAAATATGAAGAAGCCGTTTCTCAACTTTTTGAATAAATACTCCAGTGGAAGCATAATACTGTGAGTCATTGCAATCAGCCATAATTTGTGACCACAAAGACAGGAAGCGCCTGACTTCGCAAATGCAAAAAACCAATTGGAAGGTAAAACGCCAACACTCACATGGTAAATAAATTCTTTTATTATCGACAATACAACGCCAGCCCTTCTGAAAAATTAATAAATAGCAGTAGCGAATAGCGAAAAAAAGGACATTGGCACGAACCAAAAACATTACTCCCGCTGGAAACTGTTAGCAAACTTCCTGTCTAATTGTTGCGACTGCGCTTTTTCTCCTAAAAATTCATAAATGAGCATGTACACTTTAAACCCTAAACACTCCTTAAGCCTTTAAGATGTTTTCTTATAAACTGTATAAAACTCATATCCTCTTTTCGGCGCTATTAGAGAAAAGGACTCTTAATGCTTGCAGATTGAAAAAGAAATACGTTAACAACATCTGTTCGACTTAATCAACAAAGTATCATTCGTAGGAGCAAGAACTCCCGTAATGAATACCTCCTTGTCCTTCAGGATTGTTAAAATGTGTCGGAAAAGATTGACAAAGTCCAGGAAGAGATCGATAGTGTGCCATATATAATCGGTGTCACCATGGCGGCGCTTTTCGCAAATCTTCTGTGTGTCATAAAGGATGAGGGCGCAATTGATACCAAAAGAAAACCACAAACATATAGCGTCAACCAGAGGAGAACGAGAGAACAATACAGTGATAAGCAGCAGAGTCATCGAGGACATCAGTATACCTAACGATACAGATATCAATTCTTCTAGATTTAAATATTTAACGGGACACCCAAAAATGTCTTTTTTTTTCTCATTCACTAAAAAAAACAAACCTTCGAGGTGAAGATATTTAGTTGAAGGCGCATGAAGCGCAGCCATTGTGAAACAGCCAAAAACAACTGCAGTGGCCAAGAATGCCGTCATTATGATTGATGGCTCGACAGAAATCGCCTGCTCTATCAATGGACCCGTACTTATACCTTGAGTAATCATATTTTACTATACAAGAAAAATGAAAGAATAATAACAAATGCAATAAAGAATGACTTCTCCATGAGCTCTCGACAGAAAAAGTGTTAATTTTAGTTCCTCGAATATTCCAATGCAGCATGATGACAATTCCTACTATATCTGCAGTAAAGATCAAAAAGGCATCTCGCACACTCTATCTTTATTTATAACTAACCCATTTTTATCAGCTGACAAGATCTGAAGAGTTAATTGAATGAACAACTGCTTTGTTCACTTTACTAATCCTTAAAAATCAAATTGAGAGCTCATTGTGAATTGTTATCCGCGAAGAAATTCCAAGCAACAATGTGAAAAGTAAGAAAAAGAACACAAGTACATACCGGTAAGACAGGTAAAACCAAGGAAATAAAAGAATCTTTTCCTTTCATTTTCCGCACTATGCGGCGTCGTGCAAAGTGCAATCATAAGACCAATTGGAGCCAATGAAAGTAAAAAACTTGATCGAAACATATCAGTTAGTATATGTAAAGCTGCCCCAATAGCCGCAGCTGCCAGGCCAACACTCAGTGTCCCATATACGGCCTTCAAGTGGTCACGTACATCTTTCTCCCTAAAAAAACTTGATATACACCCAAATCCATCAGTGCATCCCTTTCCCGTAAATAAAAAATAAACTATCAAACTTCAAAATTCAATATTCAGAATGAAAGCGACTTAATCTGCACAATAAGCACTCAACTTTGAACTGAAATTACCGTTTTGGGGATTTATACACGTTAAAGTTCTCAATGAAAGCAACTTTGCTAAAGATTGACTATCGTTTGAACAAAGCAGCAATTCTACCAAGTTTTCCCAACGTACTAAGGAAAAAATCTTAAGAAACTGGAAATAAGTAACTGATCAAACACTCTTTAGCACGTTAACTTAAATATTTAGAAACAATTCAGAATACAGTGGAGAAGCTAGCCAGCGAGGGAAACAAAAGTAGCCCTTTAAAAAATGCTACCTGTTTGATAATATAATAAAAAATATAGAAAAATGATAAAAAACAGAAAGAGAATATTTAGTCAAAAAAAAATATTACAATTTATGGTTGAGCGATGCGAACGTGTTCTGAATATTGAAAAGGATTTCTTCGCCAGCCGTTCGACTTCTTGAGGACGGCATTTTCAGTGAGTGGAAACTGCAAACAACAAACTTATGCAAATAAAAGTAGCTGAATTAAAATACCTCCGCATACAACGAAAGGAAAAACCCTAAAATTTTCTACGCTGTGTGGATCACGTGTATCCTTACAAGGTGTAGCTAAAGCAACAAAAAGTAGCATTTCAAAGGAAGGTGCAAATAAGTCTTAAACATTCATGAGAGCTATTGCGGTGAAGTGTGCCCATCCTCAAATACACTTTTTCCACCATTAACCAATGGCGTCTTTCTAACACAATGCTCTCGACACTGCGTGACTCACCTACGATCTTTTAAACACAAAGTTCAGGATCATTAAAAGTCAGAAGCAGCAAATACTGTTAAAAAAACAGAAGTACCACCAGGACACCACAGAACAGCTTTCAGGGAGCCATCATTTAGTGACATACAGTTATGAAATCCAGCCGCTATCCTAAACGTAATGCGCTGACTTGAAAACAGCTTCATAAAACTTTACAAAGATTACAGCTAAGCTTTGACGTTGGACCACAACAAAGTCAGGAAGTGTATGGATGATTGTGAAGGCATGAGAGATGAAACAGATGGGATCCGAAACCTGACGCACAAAAAACAAATAAATAAGTAAATAAATGGAAAGTTGGTAGCGAAAACTGCATGTTTACAAGTGGGGCACAACTACTATAACAGTGCCTTCATAAATTTTAAAGTAACAATCATCTCAGGAACCAAACCTGTTCATCATATATAAATCCTCAAATGAACCCCAATACAAATAAACACATACACTAGTTCGGATAAAAACGCAAAGCAGTAACGAACGTACATTCGGTTCAGCCCTCTTTTGCAACACGTCAACATATTTTACGCACAAACTTTTGTTTCAAAATAGTTCCGAATCAAAACAAAAATAGACTACGTTTACCATGCAGAAATTCAAACTAGAACATACAGCTTCTAAGCAGAACTGAAGCTAAAAAAATTACATTATATATATAAGAGATAAACTCAAAAGTAGACTGCGAAAGAATTACAAACTATGAGCAGTAAACATCTCGCCGACAAAACAGGTCCAATGATAAAAAATAAGTAAAAAAATTTCACAAGAAACAGCCTTCACT